GCCGCCGCTGCCACCCTCTCCGATGTAATTTGGCTATTTGTTGTTCTGCTCGATGACGATTTGACACCCCAACTCGCTTACTGTAGTTGAGACTTCCATCAAAGCTGCAGGAAGGAAGCTGCATCACATGCCTTGGAGTCATGGATGGCAGGGAGACCCAGCAGCTGCTTTGGCAGGTCCGCAGTGGAAAGTTTGACTTGACGTGACACACAACAGGATCATCCGACAACATCCAATAAGTGACTGAGAGTTGCCAGAAATTAAATAAATATATATATATATAGTATATAGGTATTATACATACAGTATATTATATTTACAATATATGTGTAATAGAGTCGTGATCTACAGGTCTTCCCCCAAATTGGATTTCTGGATGCGGCTTTTGGCTTTGGGCCGAACCTTCAGCCAGCTTATCAGCTTGTGTTGTTTGTTCCCCTTCTTCGTGGTCGCTTCTCTCCCCCAAAAGGTCGGAAATGGTCGGAAGGTTTGGGAAAGAACTTCTTGGCCCAAAGACGAAATCTCTTCATGAGGAGAGATCCCCAAGATCAAATGTCTTCATGAGATCATGAGAAGGGATTCCCAAGCAACAGTTTTTTTTGGAAGTTAATTGGCAGGTGGCCCCATTCAGCTCATCTTCTAGATTCTAGACACACCAGCTGATTGACATCACAAATCATTGCCAAGGTGCTGATCTGATGATTCAACCAGAACCAAAGTGGCAACATTTTGATTTGGTCATTTTGCTGTCAGCTAGATCAGCGGTGAAGTTCTTGATTGGAAGATGAAAGTCTAGTTCCAGGCAGGATCAGCCAACCCAGCTTGTTGGATACTTCCAAAGTCCAGAGAGAAAGGAGTGTCAGTAGAGCAACAATGACCACACTGCCCTGACCAGACTGATGAAAACAGCGTCCACGGGACGTGTACACGCGGTTCAACCCTTCCCTCCCAAAGACTTCGGACATTCCCTTCGATTCCCAGTCGATTCCCGATGGCATCACGCCCAGATCTCCTGGCGCGCTGCCGGGGTGGCGTCAGTGGCTCGCTCTCGGGCTGTGTGGCCTCACAGGATGATCGACCCGAGGCGCAGCCAGGGCGGCGCGCAGCCAGGGCGGCGTTCACGGAGATTTGGATAGATTCGGACCATCAACACAGGATCACACTGTATTGATGGACTTGGAGGATTTTCTCCTTGAGTTAGTTAACTCTGAAACCGTTATGTGCCGTTATATAATTTTTGGGGGGTCCTCCGTTCCTCCTTTCAAACAGAGCTCGATGTTTAACGGTAGATTTTAATCGGTGCTGTCATGTTGGAAGACATCACGATCAAGCGGCTTCAGTTTCGACACCCGATGCAATCAGAGCAAGTCCACTTGACAATCTCATCTCAGAATCTTCAAGTATGCAACGCTGTAGCAAACTCTTGGGGAAAAATGGCGTGCAGAGATGTTGCGCAAGTATCGTCGGGGGATAGAGGTGGACAGTGGAGCCACCATGTACAAGGGTCCGTTGATTGGATTCGACAGATGCTGCACCAAACTTATTCACACTCCTCTCCTCTCCATATTAGGGTTAATTATGGGGGTATTCGTGTTCAACATTACTGTGGACATGATCTTTCGTGGCACGAGCGATCCTAGGTCTTCGAGCCACCGTGGCAGCTGCCAGAGCCTCGTGGGGGTGAGCAGGCCGGCTCCATTTGGCTCCCGTCACAGACCCTGACAGTCCTGACGCCTTCCTTGGTCCGATGAGATGCTTTCTGGTCGGGGATGCGAACCATTTTTCATGGTTAACCGTTTTGAGGGGGGATGGTTTTAATCTTCAAGCAACTTAGGGTTCCCAGATTCCATTTCACAATCCTGCAAACCTTGAGCATGAGTGAAATAGGTCGTATTGTTTGCCAAAGAGGTGGACACAAACCATGCTTTTCTGTGATCAATGTTTGTCTCAGTTCTCAAAGCTGCTCCCGTATCGGTAGGTCTAAATACGTGGGGTGAAACCAATAGTGTACCAGAAGGATCGAATTTGGGGATATTTCTATTTGTGGGAATTATGATCAATAGGAATCAGTGCGACTTAGCTCACATCTCAATCGATCGCATGTTGTTCAATTTGTTTCACTAAGTCTCTCATCAATGAAGATACAGTATTTACACTGGTACTCGTAGGTCAAGAGTAGGCCAAAAACCCATGGTCATTGCGAAGCTTTGTCCATTCTTTGCTGCGAATATGGCAGAACCATGCTCCGGTCTTGCTATTCTTAAAGTTGGTCTCAGTGCCTTTTGGACTAGTAACAAGGATGCTAGTAAGGATGCTATTAGGTGGAGGCCATCGCAAGTAGGTTGGACCTTACTACTAGTAACATCTAGCAACAAGAAGCTGCTAGTAGCTAGGTCTCCAGAACTCGCACAGGTGGACATTCAGCCATTGGCCTCCAAACTACGGCGAGCGGTCATGGAGGCAGGTGGATTTCAGAAGATGGACTGAATGCCTCCAACCTAATAGCTTCTAGCTACTAGTAGCTTCGTGCTACTAGTAGCCTTGGCTCATTGTTTTGTTCCAGTCACTGACTCAATTTGGGTGATGCAGACCGCCTCCTTCAAATAGGGTGTTGGCATCGTTTCTTGGAATCTCTAGTCTCTATGATAGTCTTATCACAGTTGTTCTCTTTCCCAGGCTTATGGAATCAGCAAGATCCATGACTTATAGACTTATATAATAGAGTGCCAATGCCAGCGGTTTCTGCTCCTGCTCACGGGGCCTGACTCAATCTCCGACTCCATCTAGCTCAGACCTGTCACTCCATCAATTTCATTGATAGATTTGATAGAGCAAGTTAAAGAATGTCAGTCTAGGAAAGAAGAGGATCCCTGCCTAGCAGCCCTTCTTTCGCAGGCAGGTGGCAATATTTTGTCCGAAAGTGACGATCACAGATATTTGCGCTGCTTGGCAGGCTTGTTTTTAAATTTGGTGGGCTTTACTATCAATCTGTGTATATATGTCGAGGGCCAGTACATGATCAAATACATCGCGCAAGCATTGACCTCTGTTTTTGGTTTCCGGAGGGTGTTAACCATCAATAACTTCGATGGCTACCGAATTGTCAGTGACTAGTGTCTTCTCTGATGGTTGACTTTCTTTAAATCCGCCTGAAAGCGCCGAATCAAGATCGCGGGCAGCTGGAGCTAGTAATATCTTCATATACATTCATGTATATATCTTCCACAAATTGCCTGAAAGTCTGCACAACATGGGTGCCGAATGTTTCAAAACATTGGACTGCCCAACCATCTTCGGGAGAGTTGATCTTTGGTCCATCGTTTGACATCCCAGGAGCAGAGTTTGTGGTCGATGTGCCCTTGCTGGGTCAGGATGCCGATGATGTCGAATGGTAACTTGGGTGGTAAGTCATATTGGTCATGACTTTGTTTGTTTCTTTCGCTCCGATTTTGGCATGGATGTTCCGTCACTGGAATCACCAGAAGAGAAACATATCTATCGGCTCTGACAGCTCTGCATGCTGTTTCTGCTTTGACTTCTTTCAGGTGAAGCTTTGCACAAAAAACCACCGGGCATCCTCTTCGCATTGACATCTCTCCATCAGAGGTACTTCACTCCAGATGACCTCATCGTCCAGTTCCGCGCCGAGCGGCGCTCTGGAGCTGCCGACTTCGGGCTGAACCGCCGCCGCTTGGAGGAGATGCAGTCCAGGGGCGGTTTGGGGGGGGCCAGTGCTGGTTAAATCATGTCAGATGATAAAGAAGATCAGGATGAAGCTTGTTTAAAGCAAACACACATGAATGACATGATATGTATGGTGGTGGTTGTTGAACTTGGTCCGATCCACTACTGTAATTGTTGGCCATCTCAAGGATTGTTGCAGCAGCACTTTTGAAGGGTGGCTGATATCATTCTTCACCCTCCATCCAGGCTGGGCAAGGTTTTAACCAAGCCCTCCCCGCACAGCGTAGAAGCTCTAATAATGGTCATTGTATGTCATTGTCAGTTTTCTTGGAAGCAGAAAGAGAAGAAGAGGATGGAGCAAGAAGGGGGCTACACGTTGGATGACTTACCGAGATACAACACCCAAGTCTGACGTTTCGAGCCTTGTGAAGGTTTCGAGTCTTTACACTTTATATATTCATCAATTGTTGCTGAGATGCGCTGAAGGTTTCCCTCGCAGGAAACTAATGAGGAACCATCTGAGACCTAAGGGCATCTCATTGCATAGGAGACTTGCAGATACAAGATGGATCAAGATGGTACAAGTGCCATGAACCAAAGCAAGTCCTTCCTCAGGTCGGTCTTTGATCATTGATCTCCAAATCTTTGTGTTTTCTCCCAGTCTGGGCCACGTCTTCAGCTTCCACGTCATCGCTTTGTGTTACTAGTAGCTTCTTGATGCTTTTTGTTCCTAGTAGCGATGCCCTCGTTACTAGCTTTTTGCTCCTATTTGGCGTTTCTTGTTTTGCTTTCTCTCCACTCGGACACGTCACCGGCCTCGCAGCTTTGGCTCGGGGGGTGGGTCGGTGGCTTTTGAGCAAAGGCACCAGAGCGGTGGAGCGGTGGTCGTGGCGATGCATCCGGAGTCGCGAAGGAGATTGGAGGCGAAGCTCCGAGAGAATTCGTATTCATGTCAGACTCTTGGCGTATTCCGAGTGATTCATGAGGAGGGGATCGATTTGGCGATGAGGACAAGATGTCAAGACCTCATTGGAGAAGCTGCTGGCATGGGGTGAATGGACGGATAGCTTCCTAGAAAACGATGAAAATAGAACGCGGGAAGGCTGGGTTCTGACTGCCACACAATCCAAGCGTCACCTTCCTTAGTGCTGGGCATGGCCTTCATTTGAAATTGGATAAATGCGGGTTCAGTCATGTTCAATGTCAAAACGATTGGACACAGTTCGGAATATCAATGACCCCACTTGCCCAGGACCTTTTGCCAGGAGCTTCCCTATACACTTTGGAACACCTGCCCTTTGTGTCTTTGTGGCCTCATGCCCGTTTTCGTGGTTTGCGTCTCAGCCTTGTGTCGGCTTGATTATGCCACGCAAGTCACTGACATTGGAGCAGAGCTCATCAACGAGATGGGCCTCTCTTACACCGTGTATTACACTGCTGGGTGCTGGCCTCCAGCAGGTCCCCTAGACGCCTTGCAACGACGGGCCTCTTGGTCTTATGACTCGGGCAATTCTTGTCCAGTTTAGACGACCGAACTGACCAAGGTCTTTAAACAAAACAAGACAAACCAAACAAAACTCAAACAATTGACTACCCAGCCACGAGGATCCAAGGGATTCCTACCCTCATTCTAGCTGTTGGAAGCGAACTGTTTGGAGGCACCGTGTGGAAACCACCTTGTGGCACTGGTCACCCATGTTTCAGCCAGTCGCTCTGAGGCTCACTGCAACCCTGAAGACTTCGAGATTGCGGCCAGCGAGTTCGATGCACTCACCGGGTCCTTGTTGCGGGTGAGGAACGTCTCTTCGACAGCACGTATTGAGCTTTCTTTTTGAAGGTCTTTGTGAGACCTTCCTTGCCCGAGCACCTCCAAACTGTATGACGTAGCACTCCACAGACAGGTCTTGAAGACGATTTCTCTTCTAATTGCCAAAGAGTCGGCCAAGAGTTTTGTGTTGCGACTCTGCGACCTCCTGAAGAGTGAATCAGTTTCCACTCTCTACCCTTCTCATGATTCTCCGGGCTTTTGTTTGCAATTTGGAGCTTTGAATTCTAGATTCTAGTCTTTGACAATCTTTGACAGGCCCTAAAGGAGGATGTCCTGCAACCAATGGGTGAGTTATGGTGAATTGATTTGCTCTATTCTGCACTCTCAAATAGTTTGGTATGAACATACTGAACATAGACTATAGATGGCTATAGGATGGTATAGGTATTAGGATTATACTTCAAGAACCCTAAAGTTTACGCTTCTTACTCTGTTCCAACATGACACTTGCAGTCTACAGCGGATCGGATTAACACGTCCATTTTGCGTGGCAGGTACAGCACGGTCAGATTTCCACACCCGTTTAAATCTATAATATATATAAGGCTTTCAGGTGTGGAAATCCGACCGCAACTGAGGTGTCGACATGTTGCACGTAGGATTCTAAGGGGAAAGGGTTTGTGATGTTTTAGAAGTCAAGAAGCGCAACTTTTGGCACCCC